TCTGTTGAATACGCACATCTCTCTGGATATATATATGGTATCTCATTTGTATATATTTATATACTCTGTACGTACGTGTGTGTGGGTATAGGTGCACACACACCTCATGCTGTGCATTTCTGTCAGGGCACTTCAGTTCTGCTGTTCTTTAGCGCTCCTGTTTGTGAGCAAAACCAACCCCTCAGCAGGGCTCTCGGGGCGAGGACACAGGCTGTGCTAGGGCTGAACCCTCGCTGAAGTTCAGCCCTGGTAATTGCAGCTTGCTTTTTCTGGGGCATGAGAGGGTAGGTAGCTGCTGCGGGTGTGCTTTGAAGGAGAGAAGGGAGCTTCCTGAGGGTACCAGAAAGTCACAAGGCAGCAGAGAAGCAAACAAGATGGTTTAGCGACAGGCAAGCAGTGGAGGCAATGTAGGGATCTGCTGGGGAGGCGGCGAGTGGGCCGGTGAAGTGCTCAGCAGGCTGAGCTCAGAGTCCCCAGCTGCGTCTCACCACGAAAGTTCACAGGCCCGGCACGGTCTTGGCTCGCTGCACCGGCACTGGCTTTTGGCATTCCTGAGGTGGAGCCGCCGCTAGCTCTGAACACCGACCGCCTTGGCGTGTGTCTGGAGGTTCTTAGGTTGTGTGGAGGGGGCAAAAGAGAAGCTAAATTGGAAGATTTTAAGTACACGTGTGTGTACTTACAGGCTTACAGTCTGTACATCCATACACACACAGAGATGCTCGTGGTCCATTCTTTATTCTGCTTAGGCCTGTGTGCTTCGTCACCCAAGTCCAGCCAGCAGCGGACAGCCTCGTTCCTCTCCAGGGTGCTTGCTCTGCAGTTCTAGTAAATCTTGCCCTGGTCTTTCTCATAGTAGAGGGGTGAGTGCCATGCTGGACACCACCAGCTCCTCAAGCTGTGAACACCCTTCTGACCTTCTCCTTTGTCCTCTACAGACCCCATCTTAGGGAGGCATTTGACAGTTCAGGGGATAAGCGGTTCTCGTGTGTGTCAGGTCATGCATTTCCCCCAAGGACACCCCACCAGCTCAGCAGAATGCCAGCCCTGGGCTCTCTTTGTGCTGCTGGAGAATTCGGAGGCAATATTCCCCCTGTCCCTTCTGGAAGGTCTCTTGCAAGTTTTTTAGGAGAGACTCAAGTTTGATTGGGTAATTCTTACCCTTTCCCAAGGAGTAGTGTTGTCTTTACCTGTGCTCCTGCCTGCAGGATGTTCCCACCCCAGTGCTGGTCCGCAGTGAGCCCAGAACCACGTGCCAAGGACAGAGGAGCAGTGGATACCCAGGCAGGGATGCTGGTCACTGTCTCTCTGCTGTGGTTGTTTGAGTTTGCACTTTTACAAATCGATTGAGCCGAAGTCTTTTGATGAATATATATCAGGCGCTTTGGAGGGCTGGGGCTTGCTGTTTACAGCCAGAAAATAAGAAAACCTGATAGATCTAGTGGTTTTAGTAAACATCACCCCACCAGGGAGCAGTGGCAGCAGATAACCCAGGTTCCTGTTGCACAATGAAGTTCAGCCAGCTGGGGCTGTGATGCTGCCTGCTGCACCCCTGCCCCCTTCTCTGGGGGAAGGAGAGCCCTTTGTCAGTTAGAGAGGGACTTAGTAAATCGGATTTGCCAGCAAACAAGCACCTTAACCACTGAGCTGTGGGTCTCAATACTTGCACTTCACCTGAAGGCTCCCTGGTGGGGAGAAGGCAGTTTGGTTCATGACCATTGGCTCGCACCTGCCTGGCATCCTCAAAACATCCTTAAGCCATGTCCTAGGGAAAATAAGACCACAGTATCAGCTCCCTCTCTCCTTGCTTTCTCTGAGTGCACACAGTGAGACCAGGAACCAGGAGGGCTGAGCCTTGCCCCCACGGATGTGAACAAACCCTGGGGGGGAAACTTTCCCCACCTCGCCCCTCTGGCCCCCTGCCCCGCTCCCCACCCTTGAGTACGGGTACCTCAGAACATGCACAGTTTGAATTTTCACTGACAATTAGTTTAGTTATTGTCAGTGAAAAGAATTGTAATTATCTGTAAATATGTAGTTAACAAATTGACCTAGTTTCTGTATTTTTTAAGTTTTTGTACTAAAATTTATAGATACAGTATGTGCCAGCTAGCAAAAAGCTACTGTAATTGCCAGTCGTAGTTCAGCATGCACCTAATCCCTGAGACTTGTCCAGTGATGCTGTAAGGAATTTGTGCTTAAATATTGCGAGCTGGGGAGGCAAACAGCCACTGGCCTGGGGCTTTTGGCTTCCAGCCTCCGGCTGGGTTTTCCCTGATGGCTGTGTGGAATCTCCTTCCCTTGGGCGTTGTGTACGGAGGGCAGTGCGAGGGACAGAGCGGTGGCTTTGAGCTTGCTCTGGAGCTGAACTCAATGGGAACCAAGTTCAGGTTCTTTGCTGCAGTTTAATACCGGCTTGTGACTATGTTTTTCAATCTCTCTAGAAATGATCTGTTTTTCCCCTTCCAACTGTTTTTGTCTTAAGCCTGAGTTCATCTAAATCTACTGGAGGAAAAAAAAAAAACCAACAACAACAAAACAAAAAAAGACTTTGATTTGAGGTCGTTGCCTGCTTTTAGTGCCAGGATCACACATTTCTATGGCAACTCTGAGCTCAGCAGAGTGCAGAAATCAGTGCAGGGTTGTTGACAAGCTGAAGTCGGCGGCCGCTGCCTCTGCATGGCTCTGGCAGAGCCTGACTGTGGCTGGTGGCAGCTGCCAAGGGCGAGTTTGGGGGTGCAGTGCGGTGGCTTGTGGGGGTCCCGGTGTCCCTGCCCCCCTGCAGCTGGCTTGCCCTGCAAGACCTGCTGCTGAGTGAGGGGTGGGCTGCTAGGAATGGTCAGGATCTGTGCTCCATGTCCTGTGGCAGAGGCAAGCCTGTGAGTCAGTAGCTGTGCTGAGCATCCCGGGAAGCTGCGAGCAGAGGAGTCTGAGCACCAGTGAGGCCGTGCTCTCCGGGTCTGGTTGTCCTGGAGGTTGTAGGGAATGGGAGCTTGTAAGGATTCAAGGATCAGAGAAGGAGAGGCAGACGTGCGCGTACGGGTTTGGCTTTTAGCAAGCAAACCACCCGCTTCCTTTCTTCAGCTTTTCTTCCCTCCTAACCCCCCGCAGCTCTTCCCCCTGCTTGCTTGGAACAGGAACATTTTTTTTACCTGCCTAGAAACAGCTAAAAGATTGGGGTCAGGATGGGTGGGGGGGGGGCGGGGGGCAGCCCTGATGTAAATAATTAACGTTGCAAAGTGAAGTGTGTATAACATAAAAGGCTACAGCCCTTTGGTGACTTGTAAATGCTTTGAGAAGGTTGTGGTATGACGTGCAGGGGCCAAGCGACCTGCCCGGCCCCGCAGCCATCGCTGCCCCACCGCCACCGCGGGGTCGGGATGGGATGGGGGGACACCCCGGGCCCCTCGGCCATGGGACCCCCCCCTCGGTGTAGTGGATGGGAGGGTAGCGTAACGTGTGTAATACGGATAGGAGAAGCTGTGTGAGGTGTGTATAGTGTATATTTTTTAAAAATAGCTTGCTTGTGTTGTGAAGATTTTAAAGACAAACTTGAGAATTCTAGCCTAACTATTAACACAAGTTTAACATCAGTTACCCCACTGGGTTCAGAGCCTCTTGAATGTATATTCCTTTTTGTAACCTAAATGACCTATTCTTCTACCAGTCAGCCAGACATCCTATTTATATTTTTAATTTTATATATTACTTTCCATTTGTTTTCATTATTTCCAGCATGTTTCTGGGTTTGGGTTTTTTGTTGGTTTGGGGTGGGGGGGTTGTTTCTTTTTGCACAAGAACTGTGTGAAGTCAAGGAAATGTTAACTCAAACCTGGTATTTTCCAACCTGTTCCCCCTCCCCTTCCTCTCCTCCACCCCTGTTGTGGTTTTTTTTTTTCTTTCTTCCGCCAACAGTTTGGGATTTTTCTGGGCTGGGATGCAGCGGGTGGGAGGAGGGGATGGCTCTTTTCCATTTGCAGCTTTTGTGCAAATGCCAGGTCTTTTTGCCAGTCAACTAAAAAAATGCTTCACTTGCTGGTTGCTTTAAAAAGGAAAAAAAAAAATTTAAATAAAAAACAAAAATGTAACCTTATCAGTGCGATGTAGACCCCCGGCGGGAGGAGGGGAAGTGCACACCTGTAGCCACACACCTCTGGCTTTGGCTGCAAAACAAAAGCAAACCTTTCCTGGTGAGGAGGTGACCACAGGGCAGCTGCTGCCCGACCCCGCGCAGGGTTTGTGGGGCACGAGCTCCGTGCGCGGCCGGGCTCGGAGCCGTGCCGGGAGCGCCATGCCTTGGGCTTGCTCTTCCCGCCTCTTCACGTGCACAAACCCAAGAGCTGCCTGCTGATGACAGCAAAGCTGTTGCTGCTTTTCCTCTCCTCCTCTTCCTCCTCTCCCCTTCCCCAAGGAGGTCCAGCTCCCCAGCAAGAGCTCACCCAGCGCCATGGCTGTTTGCTCTGGGGCATCATCCAGGTATGGCCAAGCCCGGCCGGCGCCGTGCTGTGCCACAGAGCATTAGATAGAAAAAAACACACACATATCTGCTGTTTTACTATGAACACTGGTCTGAGGTTTCCAGGCTCAGCACCACGGTGATGGGCCACGAAGGATTTAACCAGGGGAATTAAACTCCTTCTTGCTTCCGTGTCTGGTAGCACCAGCTGGTATGAGTGAATCTACAGGTGTGCGTTTTCCTTCTTGTAGAAAATGCCACGAGCACTAACTGGTAAGGCTTAATGTACAGTATATTGTCAGTATTCTGGTATTCTTCTGGTTCAACATACATTATAGCTCATATATAACCTGTATTAATTGTATAGATTGTGCATTTAAAGCTGTTACCAAGTTGTCAGAAAATAAGAGAAGAGAAAAAAAAAATAAGGTCATATGTAATATTTTGTTTGTAAGTATCCTTTGTATCATAGCAAAGGAAATGTTAAAAAAAAAAAATCAACTGTAATAAAGTAATTTTAGTACATGGAGTGTCTGCCTGCCTTTGTGAGACCCTGCCCCAGGGGGGCTACCGCGTGTAGGACCTCTGCCAGGTGAACACGGGGGGCTCAGCTGGGGGACCCCCCCACCTGCGGGGCCGCGGCAGCCCCTTCCTCCTCTCCTCCGTCCGCAGGAACTCTGCCATGGCCCTGAAATATTCCAGCACGGCCTCGTGGGCCCAGCAGCGCCCCGGCCCCCGCCGGGGGAAGCCGCAGTGCCCCCCGTGCGGGGTCAGCAGCAGGAAGAAGTAGGGGCTGCTGCGGAAGAGCTCCCTGGGCAGGCTCCGGGCCGGGGGGCCGCGCACGGGGTCATCGGCGCTGCAGAGGCACAGCACCGGCACCGCCGCCTCGTCCGCGTCGCGCAGGGGCTCGTTCCGCTCCCAGTAGCTCTCCCAGCTGGTGGGGCGGCTCCGAGTCCGGCAGAAGAGGGTTTCCTCCAGCTCCCGCAGCGAGCGGCTGCCCAGGAGCCTGTCCGTGTCCACCACCTCGGCCAAAGCCCCCGCGTACCTGCGGGGATGGGGCGGCCGCCGTGGGCTTGGAGGTGCAGGGATGCTGCCAGGGGCTGGGGGCAATGGGGACACTGCTGGGGACTTCAGGGATGTTGCCATGGGTGGGGGGATATGGGGATGCTCCCTGGGATGGGGGTCACAGAGAATGTTGGTGGGGGCTGGGGCATGCTGCCGTGGCGGTGGAGGGTCACTGGGGTGCCACTTGGAGCTGGGGGCTACAGGGATGCTGCCGTGGGGGTGTCACCAGCTTGTGTGCCCATAGGCTGCTCGACAGTCCTGGCCCCGCACACAGAAGAACAGGGGTGACCTCGGCTGCCCCAACCCCAGAGTAGCTTAGGAGACTCATCCCAGCCCCTTGCCAGGGATCCTGGAGGGTCCCCACAGCGCAGCCTGGGTGCCATGACAACGGGAGACGGCCGGCACTCCTGCTTCGTTACCGTGACAGCAGCATTTGCAGCGGGAATCAGGAAATAGGGAGGGGGGAGACTCTCTGCTGCCCACCCCCAGTACCCCATCCCTGCAGTAAGCACTGGACCTTGCTGCACCCATCTGGGATTTGCTGCAGCGTCACCTGTCACCTGTTTGTCCCTATGTTTTGGGGTTTACCTGCTATTTTTGGCTCCCATCTGCCCACCTGCAAGGTCTCTTTGCCCCCACAAGCTCTCAGCACCCCCCAGGGAAGTGCCCACTTGCTCAAGGCCTTGGCCCAGGGCAGTCTGTCTCCTGTCTCAGCCAGTGCCTGTCCACTCAAGCCTGGCTGTGTTGAGCAACAGAGAACCCAGATCCCTTGGGAAGGGACAGCAGCAGTCACAGCCCCCAGCCCAGCTGTGGGCTGGCATCACAGTCCCCCCACAGGGCCAACCGGAGGGTCAGGTGTTGGGAACAAGGGGCAGTGCAGGGAGAAGGGCCAGCCCCACTCACCCCTCAGGGTCCAAAACCAAACAGGGGCTTCACCAACTCCTCCCAGGAAAAGTTGTGAGACCCTGCCCCAGATCTCCCAGTTCAGGAACCCCGAGATGCTGCCGCAGCCCCAGCCAGGCTGGGGACACCTGTGGTGGCCCAGCTGGCCCCATGGCAGCCGGCTCCAGGCTGGTGTTCATTAACCAGCACATTTTGCTGCCCTCAGCACCTCTGCCCCTGCACTGGGGCTGCCGGTGTCAGCAGCAGCACCCACCCCATGCGCACCCTCAGGGATGACCGAGGGGTTCCCGGGGTACCCCCATCCACCTCCCCAAGCCCAAGGGACTGCACTGACCTGCTCAATCCCTGCTTGAGGTGGAGGAGCAGCGGCCACTCGTAAAGCCAGGGCATCCTGGCCTCAAACCAGTCCCGGCCACGGAAGATGGGGGAGAGGCAGGCGGCGGCGGCCAGGCGGCTGGAGGAGCCGCTCTCGCCCAGGTAGGCGAGCAGCAGCCCCGAGCCCGAGCCCTCGCTGACGGCCAGCAGAGAGGCAGAGGGGTGCCGGCACCGCAGGTAGGTCACAGCCTCCCGCAGGTCCCCGGGGTCCCCGAAAGGCTGGAGCCGGGGGGTGGTGAGGGGGCAGCCGTTGTGGCCCCGGCGGTTGAAGATGACGGGGATGAAGCCCCGCTCCAGCGCCCGCAGCCCCAGCTGCAGCAGCCCCCCCGTCACCTTCCCGGCAGCGTTGGGAATGAGCAGCAGCACCGGGCTGGAGACCCCCCCGCCGCCACCCGCAGCCCCCCACGGCCCCACCAACCAGTCCAGGGCCACCAGCCCAGCGTCAGACAGCTGCAGGAGCTCACGGGCCACCAGCGGCTCCGGCTCAGGTGGCTGCAGGAGCTGCCACAGCATCTGGAGCTGGGGCCAGCACGGCCACGGCCAGCGTCCCCCCCGCAGCGCCGCTGACCGCCCCAAGCTCCGCACCAGGTGCTGGGCCAGAGCCGAGGGCTTGCACAGCAGCCGGCAGTGCCCCGAACCCTCCTCGGCCATGAAGGGGATCCCCTCCTCTTCCTCCTCCTCCTCGTCCTCGTCCTCCTCTCCCACGTCTCCAGGCACCTCCAGCCTCCCTGCCCAAAGGCACCAAGCTAGGAGGCCCAGCCCCATGAGCACGGCGGCTGCGGCCACCAAAGCCTCCGGGGACAGCATGGAGGCGGCAGGAGCCTCCGCCGGCAGCCCCGATGGTCGGCGGCTCGCAGAGCGACGGCGGGGCCGTGCTGGGAAAGCCCAGCCCCGGGGCTGGGCAAACAGCAGGGCTGTGCCGGGGATGGCGTGAGCGGCCGCCAGCAGGGCCAAGGGGACTGGGTGAAACGGGAGGGACACGTGGCCAAGCCCTGCCTGGCGACACAGGGGTTGAAGCCCCTGCAGCCACGGACCCTCCATGGGCGCAGGAGCCGGGGCCGGGCGCCCGTGCAATGCTCACACCTTTATTGATACAAATGTACAAGGACACATCTTACAGTGGGGAGTGCGGCCCCGGCACGGGGCAGGACGCCCGGGGAGGGGTTCAGGACGCCCGGGGAGGGGGGGCCCGCGGGTGCCCCAGTCCAGTGTAATGCCGTGGGTGGCCTCGGGGGTACCGGCCACCCAGAGAGGGGTTTTGTGGGGAGTGGGGGTACAAGGCCACCGCCGCCACAGACAGCTACAGAGGCTATGTACAGGATAAGTTAGGCGCGTGCTGCGGGGTGGGCGGGGGGCTGTACAGGGGGATGCAGGCACCTACCCCGCAGGCTGAACACCAGCTCCTTGATGGCACGGGGGGCACGAGGAACCCCGCACCTCGGCTCCCCAAAAAGGCCACTTGCAGCCACGCTCGCCCCAGGTGCCGGCTGCTGCCGGAGGGAAGGGAGACATGGAGAGTGCGGGGGCCTGGGGACATGGGGGGAACACGGGCTGGCGCTCACTGCTTCTTCTCACGAGTGGTGATGGTGACCAGCTGCTTGGCGGCCTTGGCAATGTCATAGGCACACTGGATGACCTGCTGGGTCAGGAGCTGGTAGTCCACGGTGGCGCCGGGCTCGGGGGGCACAGTCTTGCGGCACTCGCTCTGCAGCCGGTAGGCGCTGGCGTTGAGCAGCCGCAGGGAGCTCCGCACCGTCTCCAGTGCTGGTTTCTGCGGCAGAGCACAGGACCGGCGTCAGAACCTGTGCTCGGGGGGCTGACAGTGTCTGGTGGGGACCACAGCCACCCCAGGGACACACCGCTCCTCCTACCTTAGGGAAGAGTGATGCCATCTCTGTCACAGCCGAGTGGATCTTCTCTGAGCAGGGCACAAAGCTGGGGGCAAGGACAAAGGGTGAGTAACATGGAGGACAGTGGCTCCTGACCGTGGAGGGTGACAAGGCACAGCCCCACCCCTGGTCTGGGTGGCCAGAAGGACCCTGAGGCTGTGCCTCAGTCCTACCTATCATGCTTGGACTCTTGCGCTGCCCGCAGCAGCTCCTGGATGTTCTTGGTGACCTGCTCAGTTTTGAGGATGACGTCCTCCGTGCTGGGCAGGCCGGGGTCCAGCTCCCCGTCCAGCGGGTCCAGCTCGTGGGGGAAATCCTCATCCTTGCTCAGCTCCACATACCGCTTCCCCTCCATGCTGCAGGGACCAATCAACCCCCCTGGGTCAGTATCAGCCCCCTGTCCCTGTATCCCCACGTACCCTGCTGCAGCCCCCAGCCCCACCACTCACCTGATCAGAACCTCACCGGCCTGTGTGTTGTCGTAGTCACTGTCAGTGCCGCTGCCATGCCGGTCCAGCTTGCTCTGGAGAAGAGAGGAGCAGTGTCAAGCCCTGCCCAGCCCCATCCCCACACAGGGTCTGGAGTCTCCCCACCCCAAGGGTTGTTCCCCCTCCCTGATACATCACCATGTGTCGGGCACCATCAGGCGGGCAGGACAGCAGCGGGGAGGATGGAGGGAAGGGCACCGAGGAGGCAGATGGACCTTTTCGGATCTGGAGGGGGAAAAGAGGAGAAGCCCATGCTGAACGGGGTGCAGAAGGGTGTGGAGCCGACCCCGGTGACGTGCAGGGAAGGACGAGCACAGGGGACACCGCCACCCTGCATGCAGGAACATTCCGCAGCTGCCGTCCCTTGGGGAGGTCCCCGGCCTGACCCAGGGGGGTGCAGGGCGGTGGGGGGACAGGACATCCCAAAGGCCACATCCTGGGCAGGCGACAGCCACCATGTCCCATGCAGGAGCCGTCCCCGCTGCGGCCCCCTTACCCGGTACACGCTGGCCGGGATGTGCATGGAGTACAGAGCCTCGTCCTCCACCTCCTGGCGACACACGAAAGGTTACGGCCCCGTGGGGACGGGACCCAGCACCCCACGGGGCTGGGGGGACTGCTGCACCCCAAAACCCTCCCACCCAGCCCAGCACACTCACGCCGGGGCTGAAGGGCTGGAGCCGGGTCACCAGCTCCTCCACTGGCTGCCCGAAGGGTTTCAGTGCCGAGCCCGGCTCGTACATGGAGAAGGCCTGGCGGTCCCGGCGGTGTGGGGGGGCCGTGCCCGGGGGGTGCCCGTGCTCTGGCCGCTCGCTGGGGGCCGGGGTTGGATGTGCAGGACCAGTCTGCTGCCGGATCTGCGTGTTCTCTGCCTGCAGCTTGTGGATCTGCAGCCAGGAGAAGGGGGAAGGCATCAGCTAGGAGAGGGGGGTACGCTGAGGAGGGCAGTCCCGCTGGCCCCACACCCACCTCGCGCTGCAGCCGGCGCAGCTCATCGCTCAGGCTGTTGTTCACCTTCATCAGTTGCTGCACCTTGGCCTCAGAGGCAGCCAGAGCCTTCTTCACCTCCAGGTACTCCTGCAGCGTGATGGGGCCATCTGACAGGTCGGAGGAGTCCATGCTCTGCAGGGAGAGGAGCTCAGCGCCAGGATCCCAGAGGTGGGGGTCTGGGTGCGGGTCGAGCCGGGGCCCGGGCTCACCCTGGCGCGGTTGTTGCGGGAGGCGTTGCGCAGCAGCTCCTGGTCCGTGTCCTCGTCAGAGGCCACGCTGTCGTAGTCGTGCTGGTCGTCCAGGTCACTCTGGCTCCGCAGCGAGTAGTCGAGGGCGTCTGGGGAGAGCAGGGTGGGTGCTGAGCACAGGGCAGCGGGAAGTGCTCTGCCCCACCTTGCTGCCCTCCGTGCCTCACCTGTGGGGCTGAGCAGACTCTTCCCTTGCTGCCGGCGCTTGGCTTCCCCGAGGATGTCGATGAGCAAAGTGGCAAACTCCCTGGCGTTGAACCTGGCCAGTTTTTGCCGGCCCTGGGGGCAGGAGTGGGAAAAAGGGGGTGAGCAGAGGTCTGGGCGCACAGGGGGGTCGTGTGGCCTAGAGGGGGCCTCACCTGGTTGCGCGTGGCCGAGTACTCAGGGTTGACAGGGAGGAAGGGGACGGCGCTGCGCTCTGTCACCAGCGTGCTGTGGTTCTGCGTCGTCAGCCAGACTGCAGGAAGGCACCTGGTGTCAGACCCCGGGGGGCACAGGGGCTGGACCCCCCCGGACAAGCAGGCTGCAGGGCCCGGAGCCGGCAGGACGCAGGCGCGGGCGCAGGGCCAGCCTGCTGGGGTTGGGAGTGGAGCCTGGCCAGGCTGACGGGAATCGCCTCCCCCAGCCACCCAGCAGGGCTGGGGTCCCCCCATAACCCACTAACAGGACCTCCCCGTGCTCTTCACCCTTTCAGGCACCAGCTCAGCACCCCCCAGCTGGTGGGAAGACAGTTTGACACGTCTGTTGGCACCCACCCTGCTACTGAAACGGGATTGCCCCCACCCTGCCACCCCCCACATCAGGGGCACCACTGCAGGCTGAGCCCCATCCCTGGGGGATCCCGGCACCCACCTCCGGCAGCACCCCAGCCCTGGCACCCAGCGGCGGCCCCTCGCGCTGAGCAAACCTTCCCGGCCGGAGGAATGAAGAAGGAGGGGCCTGCGGTCCCGGCGGACGCGTCCAGATCGGGGGGAGCGCAGGGCTCAGCCGCGGCCCCGCCGGCCGCTCCTCCCCCGCGCCGTGACGCCCGCCCCGGCCCTGGGGGGCTGCACCCCGCACCCCCCGCTCACCCGCGTCGTTCTCCCGACGGTCCACCTCGTCGTACACGTCCATGGCCAGCTCCTCGAAGAGGCGGTTGCTGAGCTGCAGCAGTACAGGGGACAGTGTCAGGCAGGATGAGAGGGGCAGGCGGGACACCCCCCAGCCCTGCCCTGGCCCCCACTCACCGCCTGCAGCTTCTTCTTGGCTGCCTTGGCCAGTTCAGAGAGGTCCAGGCTGGGGGGTACGGGGAGGGGGGAAACAAAAAGTGGGGGTTATTCCTGGCCTGTTCCCACCAACACAGTCCCCCAGCTGCACCCCACCAAGACAGGGACCCCCCCCTCAGGCATTGGGGGCTTCACCAAGCAGGGCTGGCAGGCAGGCACAGGGGGATGAAGTGGAAGGGGGCGGGCGGGACCCCCCTCCCCGAGTGCCCCCCCGGTGCTGGGCTGGGCCGAGCGGCCAGGGCTGCAGGGGGGGCCCATGCCAGCAGCATGGGGGGCCCCCGGAGCCGAGCGGACAATACCTCTGTGCCATGCACTTTGGGCGCACCCTGCGCTCCGGAGAAGGCAGCGGAGGGAAGAACAGGATAAAGGCGGACGTTAAACGCGCGGGCACGCCGACCCCCCACCCCCCAGGGACGCTCCAGTGACCGGGGTCCCCCCTCAGCCCAGCAGGGACGCTGGGGGGGGACATGGGACAGGGCAGCGGGGCCACGGGCACCAGGCACTCACCTGTCAGCCATCTGCGGGATGATGTAGTGCCCATTCTTGTGGTCTGCACAGAGAGAGGGGCGGTGAGCAGGGCCACGTGCTCCCTCCAGGGTACCCCCCTCACCCCAGGACCCCCTCACTCACCCGGCTTCCTGCCGCAGAGGTAGAAGGCCAGCCGGTCAGTCAGCTCGTACTGGCACTCCACCAGCCGCTCTGCCAGCTCGTGCTGGGCTGCCTGCCTGTGGGAGGGCCAGCAGGGGTGATGCCCACCCTAGGCGGGGGTGCAGGCAGGGGTGACCCCCTTCCCTGCCCTCACCTGGCATAGTCAATGGGGGTCCGGCCGTTCACATCGGGTGCCCCAGGGTCGGCACCGTAGACCACCAGCAGCTCTGCTTGCAGGATCTGACCGGCCTTGGCTGCCACGTGCAGTGGTGTGGTGCCCTTCTCCTGCGGGCATGGGCAGCCTCAGCCCTGCAGCCTGCATGTGGCATGAGGCTCCAGGACCCCCCCAGGGCCCCACTCCACCTCTGGGGGCCCTGAGCCCCACCAGAGCTCACC